TTTTTCCCCCCTCCATTGTTGTCCTCCCCCAGGAGGTCACCACCGTCGTCTGCGTCTCCCGTCACCGCTATTCCAAGTACGGGGGGGTCCACCTGGCTCTGCTCCAGCCGGGAAACTACTCGGCCAAGGTCCGGGCCACTTCCTTGGCCGGCAACGGCTCGTGGACGGGGCTCATCAAGTTTTACATCCTGGGGCCAGGTACCCACGGGGGGACAAGGGGGACATCAGAGGGGTCTCCAGCCATGGGGGTCAGGGGGTGCTGCTGGATCAGGACACTGGGGAATTGAGGAATGTTGGGGAGATGGAAGGTTGGGGGATGCTGTTGGGCTGGGGTGTTGAGGATCAGGGGATGTTCCTGGACCGGGATACTGAAGATGAGGGATGCTCCTGGCTTGAGAAGATGCTGGGGACCAGGGGATGTTGATGGACCAGGATGCTGAAGATGAGGGATGGTGCTGGACTGGGAAGCTGGAGGACTGAGGAATGATCTGGGATGGGGACACCCAGAGATCAGTGGGTGCTGCTGCTCTGGGGAACTGGGGGCTCCCCCTCTCTAGCCCATTTGTGGTGGTGGGACAAGTGTCCCTGCAAGGTGTGGGGTGGGATGAGCGCCTGACCCTGGCCCATGACCCATGGCCACCTGCTCCCGGCAGCCGAGGAGGAATCCGGCAGCTTCTACGTCCTGCTCACCGTCACGCCCGTGGTCCTCATGGTCCTCATCTCCTGCCTTGCCGTCTTCGTCTTCTTCTACAACAAGAAGAGGTAGCGACCCCCCAACCCTGCACCCCCAGGGCTGGACCAGGTCCAGCTGAGCCAGGGCTGGGGATGGGACGTGGGGAGGTGGCATCCTGTCCTTGTCCCCCCCTGTCCTCTGAGCGATGCCCACCCCTCGCAGGAGCAACGATGGGTATCCCAGTGGGACGCTCTACACCTCCGTCAACCCCGAGTACTTCAGTGCCTCGGACAGTACGTAGGGACGGGCAGGGGCATCCCCGTGGGGTCTCCTGTGCCCTTCCCTTGCTGGGGACATACTGGTGGGGCTGGGGATGGAGATGGGGATGGGGTTGAGGATGGAGATGGAGATGGAGATGGAGATGGAGATGGAGATGGGGATGGGATGGGATGGAGATGGGGAAGTGATGGAGATGGAGATGGGGATGGAGATGAGGCTGGGGATGGACATGGACATGGGAAATATAGTTGGGGATGGAGATGGACATAGGATGGTATAGGGTTGGAGAACGGGGTGGGATGGGGTGGAGATGGAGATGGAGAAGAAATGAAGATGGGGATGGACATGGGATTGGTGATGGACATGAGGATGGGGATTGAGATATGGTTGGGGATGGAGATGGGGTTAGAGATGAGGATGGGATGGGGATGGAGATGGGGATGAACCCATGCCATCCCATCTCCATCCCCATCCCATCTACACCCACACCTCATCCCCATCCCATCTCCATCTCCATTCCAACCCCATCCCCATCCCATTCCAACTCCATCCCCATCTGTCCATCCTCATCCCCATTTCCCTCCCATCCCATTCTGTTTTCATCCCCATCCCCATCCATCTGTCCCCATCCCTATCCCATCCCATCCCATCCCCATCTCCATCCCCATCCGTCTGTCCCCATCCCCATCCCCATCCCCATCCCCATCCCCATCTCCATCCCCATCTCCATCTCCCCCTCCATCACCATGCCCATCAAAGTCACCATCCCTGTCACCATCCCCATCACCATCCCCATCACTGTCTCCATCACCATTTTTCCCCCCTCCATTGTTGTCCTCCCCCAGGAGGTCACCACCGTCGTCTGCGTCTCCCGTCACCGCTATTCCAAGTACGGGGGGGTCCACCTGGCTCTGCTCCAGCCGGGAAACTACTCGGCCAAGGTCCGGGCCACTTCCTTGGCCGGCAACGGCTCGTGGACGGGGCTCATCAAGTTTTACATCCTGGGGCCAGGTACCCACGGGGGGACAAGGGGGACATCAGAGGGGTCTCCAGCCATGGGGGTCAGGGGGTGCTGCTGGATCAGGACACTGGGGAATTGAGGAATGTTGGGGAGATGGAAGGTTGGGGGATGCTGTTGGGCTGGGGTGTTGAGGATCAGGGGATGTTCCTGGACCGGGATACTGAAGATGAGGGATGCTCCTGGCTTGAGAAGATGCTGGGGACCAGGGGATGTTGATGGACCAGGATGCTGAAGATGAGGGATGGTGCTGGACTGGGAAGCTGGAGGACTGAGGAATGATCTGGGATGGGGACACCCAGAGATCAGTGGGTGCTGCTGCTCTGGGGAACTGGGGGCTCCCCCTCTCTAGCCCATTTGTGGTGGTGGGACAAGTGTCCCTGCAAGGTGTGGGGTGGGATGAGCGCCTGACCCTGGCCCATGACCCATGGCCACCTGCTCCCGGCAGCCGAGGAGGAATCCGGCAGCTTCTACGTCCTGCTCACCGTCACGCCCGTGGTCCTCATGGTCCTCATCTCCTGCCTTGCCGTCTTCGTCTTCTTCTACAACAAGAAGAGGTAGCGACCCCCCAACCCTGCACCCCCAGGGCTGGACCAGGTCCAGCTGAGCCAGGGCTGGGGATGGGACGTGGGGAGGTGGCATCCTGTCCTTGTCCCCCCCTGTCCTCTGAGCGATGCCCACCCCTCGCAGGAGCAACGATGGGTATCCCAGTGGGACGCTCTACACCTCCGTCAACCCCGAGTACTTCAGTGCCTCGGACAGTACGTAGGGACGGGCAGGGGCATCCCCGTGGGGTCTCCTGTGCCCTTCCCTTGCTGGGGACATACTGGTGGGGCTGGGGATGGAGATGGGGATGGGGTTGAGGATGGAGATGGAGATGGAGATGGAGATGGAGATGGAGATGGGGATGGGATGGGATGGAGATGGGGAAGTGATGGAGATGGAGATGGGGATGGAGATGAGGCTGGGGATGGACATGGACATGGGAAATATAGTTGGGGATGGAGATGGACATAGGATGGTATAGGGTTGGAGAACGGGGTGGGATGGGGTGGAGATGGAGATGGAGAAGAAATGAAGATGGGGATGGACATGGGATTGGTGATGGACATGAGGATGGGGATTGAGATATGGTTGGGGATGGAGATGGGGTTAGAGATGAGGATGGGATGGGGATGGAGATGGGGATGAAGATGGGGATGGGGTAGGGATGGGGATGGAGATGGAGATGGGGATGGAGATGGGGATGGGGATGGTGAGGGTGAGGGTGATGGGGATGGGGTGATGCCCCCTCGCCCCGCAGTGTACATCCCTGATGAGTGGGAGGTGCCGCGGGAGAAGATCACGGTGATCCGGGAGCTGGGGCAGGGCTCCTTCGGGATGGTGTACGAGGGGCTGGCGCTGGGGCTGGTGGCCGAGGGTGAGGAGACCAAGGTGGCCCTGAAGACGGTCAACGAGTTGGCCACCAAGCGGGAGCGCATCGAGTTCCTCAACGAAGCCTCTGTCATGAAAGCCTTCAAGTGCCACCATGTGGTAGGTGGGCGGCCGGGGGCGGGGAGGAGGAAGGAGACACGAGGGGGGTCCAGCTGCTCTCGTGCCACCCCATTTGTCCCCCCAGGTCCGTCTTCTTGGCGTCGTGTCCCAGGGCCAGCCAGCTTTGGTCATCATGGAGCTGATGACGCGGGGGGACCTGAAGAGCTACCTGCGCTCGCTCAGGCCAGACGCCGAGGTGAGGGGCTGGCCGGGTGACGTGGTGCCCCATGGCCAAATGGGTTCCCACCTTGTTCCTGGAGGGGTCCCAGTGTGTGTGTCACCCCCCTCAAGCCCTGACTCTCTGCCCACGGAGCAGAACAACCCCGGGCTGCCACCGCCGTCGCTGAAGGACATGATACAGATGGCGGGGGAGATCGCCGACGGCATGGCCTACCTCAACGCCAACAAGTTCGTGCACCGGGACCTGGCTGCCCGCAACTGCATGGTCTCCGAGGACTTCACCGTCAAGATCGGAGGTGGGTGGGCAGCGGCGGGCTGGGTCGCTACCAGCCTCACATCTCCTGGTCATCACACCTTCCTTCTTCTCCTTCTTCTCCTTCTCCTTCTCTCCAGCCATGGGGGTCAGGGGGTGCTGCTGGATCAGGACACTGGGGAATTGAGGAATGTTGGGGAGATGGAAGGTTGGGGGATGCTGTTGGGCTGGGGTGTTGAGGATCAGGGGATGTTCCTGGACCGGGATACTGAAGATGAGGGATGCTCCTGGCTTGAGAAGATGCTGGGGACCAGGGGATGTTGATGGACCAGGATGCTGAAGATGAGGGATGGTGCTGGACTGGGATGCTGAAGACAAGGGATGCTGCTGGATTGGGAAGCTGGAGGATTGAGGAATGATCTGGGATGGGGACACTCAGAGATCAGTGGGTGCTGCTGCTCTGGGGAACTGGGGGCTCCCCCTCTCTGACCCATTTGTGGTGGTGGGACAAGTGTCCCTGCAAGGTGTGGGGTGGGA